AAAAAAAAAAAAAAAATCCTAACCCTAACCTCCTTGGGTTGCGCATCACTGCCGCGGATATTCGATTTTAATCGCCATATTCATCGTTCCGTTCGCGCATTAGTCCTCGACCTAACCTATACTTCAGCTCGTGCAAGATGATTTCGATAGATTGGAAAAGATCATTTCACGTTCTATCCCCCCCTTATTCCTTGGGAATAATTGTTTCGATCACGCGGATGGAATAAAATATCGTCACGATATGTAAAACAAAAAAGAAGAAAAAAAGGAAAATGTTTTGTTGCACGGCCACTTTAGAATCGATCGAATAGATCGATTATAAAACGATGTGGCACTGTTTGTCGTGTAGAATTCAGATTTATCGGGTAGCATCCGCCAATTGAAACGATAGCTGAAAGATATTCAAGGGCCAATCTCTCGAGAACAATTCCCAACGAAACGGACGCGATGAAATTCTTCTCGCGAGCTGATTTCAATCGACACTGATGAGAAAGAAATCGTAATAATAGGGTGTAAACATTGCGCAAAAGAACGCAGCAGTTCTAAAGAAGAACAAAACTGTTTTAGAGTTTGCGCAAGATGTTGTAGGCTTGAAATATCATGGGAATTGCTGTACGTTATAGGGTTGCGTGTAACTCTCACGGATAAACGGAAGCAGCAAAATCTTTCCATCGTGACTGATTATGCGAAACACGACGGATGTTTGGCACAACGATGATCGTTTGTCATTTTGGCGTGGTGCAAATTATTATTCAAAGTATTTCAGCCAAGAATTTCTCGGCGACATCTTCGAGAGTCGAAACAATGCTCGGAAAGCATTCTTATAAAATGTTCTTTTGTAAGTAGCGGAGTGTTATCGAATCACGCCAATATGCTTGTTTTTAAACCATTAAAAATATTTATACATTTTTACATTCTCTTTTTTTCTTAAATAGTTTATAATAGAGATGCAAAAGAAATCCCTCGTATGTCAATACGTTTTGAATTTCTACATTATTTGTATTATCGTTCTGCTCAAACTCATTATTAGGAAACTGTTACTGTGCACCTTGTTTCTTTGTGCATGCAGATTTTTGTTAATTTATCTTCATAAAAAATAAATTGCGCGAAAACTAGGTGTGTCTAGGTTTTTCACTAAAAGAAAAGAATAATAATTTTTTTCTTTTTTTTTGAGATATACGAGTGACAAGCGTCAGTTGTTTTCATGTTTCGTTTTATTACATTCTTTAGTAGCCATTTACGTTGAAGTAACAAGCGAATAAATGTCGTTTTTGTCCTCGTCAAGAATAAGTGAAGCAGTTCAACGCGACCATGGAAGTAAATAAATGACCGTCAAACTGTCTTTGTTTCTTCTTAGACCAATTGTCAATCAACGATTATGTAATAATTATTTTGAACAACATATACGACACTTAGAACCTATAAATAATAGACCAACGATAGAAAAGAATGTGTTGCCCAATTTCCAATCATCCTTCTATTCCACAATTTTCCAAGGTTCATTCTTCAAACTCGTAAATTGTCGTCTCGGAGTTAAGATAACGTAAAACTTGTGCTCGATTAAAATGCAAATTTTATCGTAATAAATTCACAAAATTTCTACATAAAAAATTGGTCACTTCGGGCCATTTCGGTAGTTCTAATGCCAATAATTCCCCGCCATCAGGAAGCGAGCTACCGCGATAAATCTGGGTAACGTTATCCGGACACTTCCGTTGCATAAGTCCGTCTTGTGTTCAGATTATTCGCCGAGTCTGAGAGTCTGTCCGTGCAGAACTGGCTGCAGAACGTTGCCTCGCAGAGTTTGCGTAAAGCCATTCAACGTACGTGCACCGTTACCAATTCATTTTTCTGCAACGTGAAACGCCATTGCGTTCGCCGCATACGTATGCTGACTTGGACTGGAAAGTCCGAAAGAGATCATTCAACCATGTATAGTAATATTGTTGTACACTTTGCAAGATCTGTTAATTTGTCCATTTGATCGTGTCGCGATTTGGTTATTTGCATCAACGAGCTTCCATAAACGTGTCACTTTTTTTGATAGAAGAATTTTCAGCCCTCTCGGAAATAAAACTTCTCACATCTGCTTCAAAGATTCGTGCAATTTTGCAGAATTGACGAACATCGAGGAATGTCAAAAAAATAGATAAATAGTCTTTTTTTTTGGCGTCGTCGATTCTAAACTTTCGTCACTTGTTTTTTTTTTTTTTTTGAAATTTGAATGTTATTGATCGTCTCGGAGTTGGACGTTGTTCGAACGATCTCGAAGTAAACATTTGTCTAAAATAATTATTCGAATATATATTTTCTTTTTCAGTTGAACGTCTTGTATGGATCGTTCTTTTTTTTTTCGTTTAATCGAACGAACTTTTCGAAGCAAGTAATCATCAAACCATTTTTTTGTTTCGAATTTTTTATACGTGCATGTACAAAAATTCAAAACATTTGAAAGATATTCGATATGTTAAACACTTTTATATACGGCATAATATAACTAGATAAATATATAACAACGAGATTCTTATTCGAATAAATTTTTACTTGCTCATTCGTTCAAAACTTCTCTTCCATTTTTGCCAGCCAGACGAAATTTCGCACCGATTCATTTCAAAATAATATCGAGAGAATTTCAATAGTTTCTGTGTGATCGAATTTTCCTACAACTTTCGAAAGTTACGATTCGTTACATCACTATGTTAATGTCAATTGTCAATTAATTAGATATAATTAATCGCCACGGTCCGTGAAACTTGATTAATGTTGGAATTCCATCATAAAAAAAAGAGTAAAATGAAAAGTGGAAAAGAAAAAGAACAGCTACGATCGGTTCGTTGCGAAATAAGTCGCCGCCATGTTGCGATTACAATTTAACACGAAAACCTAACCTAACCAAACGTTCCGCTTAGCAAGCAGTGCGACACTTCGAGAATTTATTTATTAAAAAGTTATTTAATAAAAAAAGAGTAAAATGAAAAGTGGAAAAGAAAAAAACAGCTACGATCGGTTCGTTGCGAAATAAGTCGCCGCCATGTTGCAATTACAATTTATACACGAAAACCTAACCAAACCAAACGTTTCCGCTTAGCAAGCAGCGCGACACTTGGAAAATTTATTTATTCACGTTGCTTCATTTCAGAGGAAATTAAACAAGAAGATGAAATGCCAAGTACAGAATTTTTATAATTTCTAACAAATTTTTCGCGATAAATTTAAAATCTGTTTACGCTATTCGAATGTAAAATGCACGACGCTCGGAATTGGACAAATATATTATACAATCAACGACCTCACAGACCTCAATCACGTTGAGCCGACTTCGGAGAAACAGGAATGTGGAACACCACAACGATTCTAATTCCGTTTTTTCCTCTCCTTTTAACAACCACAAGTTACTCTAGTGAAATCGAAGGAACCAAATTTAGAAGCGATCGATCGCTTACGCGAGAAAGGCATTCGTAAGATTTCTTCTCGATCACTCGATTTCCCTGCAATTAGTACAATTCCAAACTAACGACATATTTATAGAAAGCTTTAACGAATTTTTAACGTTTTTTTTTCAGTAAAACTTTCAGCCACGAGTTTAATTTTCGAGCGATCAGAACAAAGTTTAACGAAGAGAAATATACGGACCATTTAAATCGCATAACCTCTACACAAGTGGAATTTCGTAACGTATCTGAATTGAAAAACCACTTGACTCAGCTCAACTATCATTCCTTCTCAAGCATAAGCATGTTTTGATAACGTAAGCAACTTTAAGGCTAATTAAACGAAATCGTGATCCGAGCGTAACGTAACTTCGATCGTGGACCAATTAGCATCGAACGATATCATTAAACTGCTCACGATGTTTCGTTTCATTTATTCCAGACTGAAATGATTTTGAAAGCTTAGCAGAAAGATTGAAATGCCGTACGACAAAGTAATCGGTCTCGAAATTATTAAACGTTAATTGATACGTTTTGCTTCAGATTTTATCGCCATATAATGAATTCCAAGTAACGAATGCTAGATAAAGATACTTTCCATGCCGGAATCATTGTCGATAGTTTACACAGTAAGCGGTAATTAATACGAAAGGAATTAACGGAGGGGACGAGCCACAAGTGCGTAACAATAATATGGAACGAACTTTCACTTGCAATCGTTTCCGAATATCGATTTTCAAAAAAAGAAAAAAAAAATATACGCGTTTTCTCCTTTGTAATTATATCACTGAGCGAATGATAATCTCAATGTCACGATAATTTTCAAGCATTCCACGAGCTGTTATTAGCAATGGTAACAAATGGTAACAATCGTTGGCCAATTATCGCGGCTCGGAAAAACGAACGTTCTGTTTTATCTTTCGAACGTTGTGTGTGAATTACCGGCCGATTAATCGATTTGAAGGAAACCCCCCCGCTCTTGTCGACTAATGGACAAGTAATTGTAAGAGAGAAAGGTTCCGTTCTTTTCCCTTTTTTTTCTCAGCGCGGGACATACATACGTGGCGAACCAGACGATAAAGCGATTTGCATCTCGATTTATAGCCTGTTCGACGCATTGGCGTGGAACACTCTCGCGATCGAAAAGATCGTTCTCCTCGGTGGAGCAAGAGTGAAAAATTACGATTACGAGACGTAAAATCGAATCTCGTTTTGCGAATAAATAAATTCGAATTTTATTAGAGTCCTAGCCTACAATTTATTAAAAGTCTAGTCTACAATTCTCGATCACATCACGCTCAACGCCTGTGTTGCGCCGCATCCGACCGATCCCTGCATGTAATCCGGGAAGTTCGACTCGAGTACGCGCATCCTGGCTCTCGCGTAATCGGCGACAACGTGAGTGACCAGGGAACACTCGGCGCTGGTGTACACTTGGTCGAAACACCGTGAGACGAACGGATTGGTCGCGTCCCATCGGTAAACGTCCGACTCGCCCTCGTAGCGGAAGAAAAGCGCGCTGCCATTGTCCGTGCCGAGGAGGACCATTTTCTTCGGCTTGGCGCCGAGGTCGTGGATCTTCCCGTTCGCCGAGCCATTCCGCAGGTGCTCCGTCCTGATCGAGAACATACGGCTGCTGCTCAGGTAGGTGAATATCAAACAGGTGCTGCCGTCCGAACGTCGGAGAAGGGCAAGGTATAGAACGTCCCTTCGTGTTGTGCCCATAGCGACCGCCTGAGGCAAAACCACACGATGACCACGGCCCAGGGTGACGTCGTAGACGAGAATGGCTCTGGAGGCAGCGTCCGACACGTAGATAAACACTCTTCCGTCCTGGCTGTAATCGGCCACCAGGTATTGTAGTCGGGACGTCGAGGTCGTCAGTCCGGTCAGGTCTACGGTTTTCACCAACTGCGAGCAGATATGATGGGTTAAATTTAACTGTAAATACTGTAATGCGTGAATTACTAAATAATTACTAATTATTAGTGCGTAGATATTAAATGGTAAATAAATGTGTAAATACTAAATAATAATATGGCGATGATGTTTAAGATATATTTTGCGAGGAGAAATGATGGGTTAAATATTGTAAATACTAATG